TTTGTTAAGAAGTTTGGGGGGGGGGGACAATTTTTTTTGTCTTTTAGTTTTAGGATTGAAGTCATTCTGATTTGATTGCCTGCAAAACAACAGTATGAACAGTAATTCCATAAAATGGGATTTGAATAACAAATCTGGATTGTCTGCATTGTAAATAAAGCCATGCTGATGCTAAAATAGATGGAGATGCGTAAATTCCAATTCAGATTGGAATTTGATCATGGTTTGTGAATGTAGCTTTAAAACAGCTGATACTGTAATGATGTTTCACAAAAAATCCAACAAAATACAATTAATTATTGAACCATTAAAAAAAATAAAAAGTGTTACATCTGGGAAAAAAATGATGAGTTAGGGAAGGACAGTAGTAGCTGTTGCAAACTGTAATATTACATTTGATATTTGTATTGTATATTTGAGCTTTTTACTCAACGTCAGCACACAATTATTAAACCATACATAAATTAACCATACATGACAATGATCTTACAAATATTGTTTGCCATATCAGTAAACCCAATCTAATGTAAATCTAAAAAGTAAACTTTAATACTTACAATTTTTTAACAGCTGTAATAAAATGTGATTCTGTTGTTGTCCATAACACATTCAGCATGAATAACTCAAAGCCTGTTTGTCATGAAAATGGGCAACATATTGTCAGTTCCAGATAATTTTATTCAGAATCTTCATCAAATACATTGTTCAGCACATTTACGGTGTTAACAAAATAACCGGCTGTTACTTCTGAAACGTCTCACGAGTAATGAATATAAAATAACACCTACCTACTACTCTATGTGTGAAATAAAATGACTTTAAAATATTGGCATTACCTAGTATTCATTTATACTTTATAAATACAAGACATCCATAAATATATCTGAAGATATTCAAGGGTTTTTGATCCAGAATAATGTGATATTTCCTGAAGAAACGCAGAGGTGGACGGGGTTTGAAGATTGTGAATATTTAAGGCCATTTTTGAAGAACCTGCCGTTCAAGACGTCTGAGCCCTGAACATCAACAAACACCACAAACACACATGATAGAAAGCTTAAGAAACTGGAGGAAGATCATGCCACCAATGCAAAAGCCCTCTGAGGAAAAGTGAAATATGACGTCTCTTCTGGAGGTAATGGTTCCTTTTACACGGTGTACTAGTGAAAACATGTAGCATGAATTGCTGGTTTTGTTTCTTACTTTCAAACGTCTCCCTTCACAAAGGGAAATGGAGAGATGATCCGCTTTCAATGTCTAAACCCTGAATGAACGTTCGAGACACAAAAGAGAAGTTCACACATTTAAACTCTAAAAGAAGTTACCATCTCTTTTTCACTTATACACCAAAACGACAAATTCAGAAAGAAATTTTTGAGTCCAGGCTCAGAATAAGAGAAAACTTGGATGACTTTCAATCACACAAGCTCAGACTTTCTTCAGAACGGCACGAGATTGAAAGCCATGAACATGACCCTTGTGTCTTTATAAAACATGCATACATTTGACATATATAAGGGTCAATCACAAAAAAACAAAAAAAAAAAAAAAGTTTTCCTTTGATTCTATGGTGAAACAGAGATGGACGTTTCACCCACAGAACTCCACTGGATGTCCATCATATTGCCTTGACGTTATCTGTATTCAGCAGTTCATCTGACGTTTAACCGACAAGACACTGTTATTGTTGTTGAGGGGAAAAATGTCCACCAAGCAAATGCCTAGTAATCACATTTCGAACAACATAATGCAGGTTTTATACAAGTTCCCCAAAGAGAAGACGAACACTGAAGCGTAATGGGAGTATGATGAAAAATCCAAGTGAAATACACCGATAAGATTCAAGCTGTAGGATGAGAACTGTTGGTTCAGTGCTGTGATCCACACAGGAAGGCATTATGGGATCCATGAAGGACCATGTGATGTGAGGTGTTTGGTTCTTGATGGTTTCCAAAAGGCATTAAAAGTCTCCTCAGTTAAAAACAAACGACTGCATGTATATGTGTGTGTGTGTGTGTGTGTGTCACGCGACAGGACGTTAGAAGGGGGTGTAGTCAGACGGGTACATGATGGGCAGCCAGTTCTCTGTGTATGAGACGCAGTGCATCCAGCCCAGAGAACGCATCAGCTGCAGGAGACAGACAACACAATCACAGCATATCAGACAATCACATAATTACCACAATAACTCTAATAATCTTATTTTACTGAAAACATTATGATGTAAATCTGTCCATTTTATCCACATTTACTGAATCGATTTTGCGGGAAAATCGGTGTAATTCTGCAGAAAGTGTTTAATTACAGTGAAAAAGTTAGATATCTCATTTTATATATATAAGAAAGAAGAATTTCACAGATTTTCTTATAGTTTTTTACCATTTCTTGTAATAATGACATAGTACATTACTTTTGACTTGTAATAATCATGACTTTATCTTATAATTTTGATTTAATAATTAATAATTCCAACTTTTGATATAATAATTTGGACTTTTTCTTGCTATTATGATATAGCATCTCAATTTCGACTTGTCATCGATGTTCCCTCTAAGCTGCGCTCTTGACCAGCCGCACTTCTTACGTTTGTTTTTTATATTATATTATACTGACCTCAAAAAAGGAATTCATGAACAATATCTGCTTCATTTTTTCATATTATCTATATTAAATTATATTATATTATAATACAGAATTGAACTGTTGTGTGTGAGAGTTTTTTTTAATGATTTTTTAATACAATTTCTTGGTAACAGCACTGTAAAAAAAAATTTCTCAGGTAACCTAAAATGTGCATCATTTAGTTACATCAAGGGTCAAATCAAATATAAATAGCACATTCAAGTTAAAAGTTACACACTTTTTTGTGTGTGCTGTACAGGTCTGGTATAAAGAATGTTTTGCTCAGGTAGCCGAAATGTCCGCCCAATAGAGAAAAGGTTTGCTCAGCAAGAAAAAAAAATTAGAGGGAACACTGCTTATCATAATTGACTTTTTATCTCATAATTTCATCTTTATATATCATAATTTTGGTTGTCACATATTTATGACTTAGTATCTTATGTTGATTTTTTTTTTCTGGCATGATTGACTTATCTTCAATATTTCAAATAAATTCTGTTCTTTTGAACTTTATATTCAAAGAATCCTGAAAAATAAAATGTATCACGCTTTCCACAAAAATTTTAAGAAGCACAACTGTTTTTAACATTGATAATAATCAGAAATGTTTCTTAAACAGCAAATCGGCAAATTAGAATGATTTCTGAAGGATCATGTGACAACTAAAGACTAGTGCTGGGCGGTATGACCAAAAATTTATATCACGGTATTTTTTAAAATTATACCGGTTTCACAGTACATGACGGATCTACACTAAAGAGCGGCTATGCGGTTGTTTTGGCTATATTAGCCTACTTTTTTTGTCTCATGCAGCGCACTGCCTTCGTCTGAGTAACAAACTAAAAATAAAACAAAAACCCCCCAAAAAAGTGCATGTGATATTAAAAGACGAACTACGCTCATATTTATAATTCCAAACAATCAGTAAGCGACAGGTGCTAGCAAACTTAGTTTTGTACTCATTTATTGACGAGTCGGCTGCGCTGCTTCTCTGCCGCTCACTGCACAGAACAGACGCCGAGAGAGGCGACACTTCTCCGGGAAAGTCAGACCTTTTTCACGCTTAGTAACACATACAGCTGTTCCCTCACCACAGTGCAATAGTGAAAAGGGACCCCTTTCAAACAGTGTCGTGTTCCGAACATTGTTTAAGCGACATACACCGGTATTAAGGTATTTTAAAAATTCATATCATAACAAAAATAAACACCGTTATTCAGTATGAACCGGTATACCGCCCAGCACTACTAAAGACTGGACTAATGAAAATTCAGCTTTGATTACAGCAATAAATTACTTTCTACAATGCATTCACACAGAGGCGGACTTAACCATTAGGCAAAGGTAGGCGACCGCCTTGGGCCCCCAAAAGCCAAGGGCCCCCTAAAATGCTTTTTATATGCGAGATGCGCGTTCAGTGCGGACGCACAAGTGGTTGCTGTGGTGTTCATTACCACGACAACCGTCTGTGCGTCCGTGTTGAACGTGCTTCTTAGCAAAAGTAGGGCGATGTAGAAAACGGGGACGGAATCCCGGAATGTATTCATAAAAACGGAATTTACTGTGTAACGCGGAATGTGACAGAATGAATGGCGCAGATGCGCGTTTCGTTTGCTAGTTTGCTATTTAAGCACCTGTAACGCTCGTAGTAGCTAAATAGTATTTTTGCCATTTAATATTCACATACACTAGTCCATATCGCGGTTTGATTGAAGTGTACTGAATTGCATTTGATTTATTCATTCAATATTTGACGAATTCCTTGACATTGCTCGTTACACAGTAAACTTCTCTCATGTAGCATTTTGAACGTACAAAAATTAAAGGGTTTGTTTAATTTTCATTGGAATAAAAGATAGATTAATGTTTTCGACTTCATTTGATTACCAGAAAGCATGTTTTTTTCCAAAATCTTATATAATCGTTCAGAAAAAAAAAAAAAAAAACTGAATCCAGAAAAATTTAAACGGAAAAAAAGATAATAAAACTAAATAAAACTTAGGCTAATTTGGGGGAAAAAAAAACGGATTTCATAGGGCCCTACACATATCATGCATCTGAAGCTATAATTTTAATACTAAGCAACAGTGCATATTATATAGGGCCTATTTTCATGTTTTTAAATTGCGCTCACTCGTTTTTGTGAAAGACCCAAGAAGGACCATGCACAGTCACTTTCCACACAGGCCACACAGGCACCTAGTGTCCAGCCTACTCTAATACTATTATAACCTGTTTAAATGTGAACAAGGGATTTACAACATTAAAGAACTCCTTTATTTATAACATGTACATGAAAAATCTAAAAGATTAGACACAACTATGGGACACGGTCGTGCAGCAGCGAGCAACAGTGAAAGGAACCTCAAGGTTGTAAATGTGTGAAATTGTATAGGGCCCCATTCCTGTATTTTGCCTGGGGCCCCCAAATCACTAAATCCGCCCCTGCATTCACATAGAATAGAGTTATTTTAAATTGTAATAATATTTAACAATTAAATAAATGCAGTCTTGCAGATGCAGGAATGTAAACTCACCATGAGTGTAAAAGGTGACAAAGAGGTGCCCTCCCCCCACCCCCACCCCCCATAAAATTAACACTTATCAATAAAAGACTTTTAAGATGAAAATGACATTAAATTATTATTATAACCAGTAGATGGAAGCAGAGGATCACTCATTAGCTTAGTTGCCATTTCCACTCCCTAGTTTTTTTTTTAAGTTTTGTACTTTTAATATACTGAAGTATGAAGTATAGCAAGTACAATTAAATAATAATGCATTCAATATTTTTAGATTTAATTTTAAAACTACATTTTTTAAACACTGCCTTAAAAAGGACACATCAAAAAGAGTGTTTTAAGTTTTATCTTTAACTGCAGAAGCTTCTAAATATATTCAGCCAACACAGACTTGATGAATGAGACTTGACTCTGAATTTAGTCTGAATCACTTGATGCACAGCTCTGTTTTTGACATCGTTCCGTTCATTGCTACAGTTATCACCGTCAATCAAAGAAATTACTTGCGGAATAATTTAGCAGATTAATTCGCGCAATTCACTCGCGTTTCTTAGACAAAAAAAAATTTACTTCAAATTGTGAATGGATTATGTAGAAACCGAGCAAAGGGTGCTTCCCCTTAAAGCGCAACTGACAGAGCTTACTCACGCAAAAACTCCTGATATAATCAATGATATACACAACTAACTACACAATCAATCTCTTATTTACACCGTATGAATGCTTTATTAATCGTTATAATAGGAAGATCTGCGAGCGTGTAGAACTCAAACTAAACTAAAACAAAAATGAGTTCAGAGCAAGTTTGCAGATGCAAGGAACATGGGATATTCTTTTACCTGTATGCAGTTCTTCCAATTGTCTTTGCTGGGTTTCTCCTCGACGATCTTAGTCGCGTACTTCAAGGCTCTTGCGTACATTTTGTTTACTAACGCGTGCTTGTAGGAAAATGTTAAAACCTGCAGAGAATATCATCATGTCAAATAAAACATAATAATAATCAAATTACTAGTACACGTGTAAATGCCTGACCTCCGTACCTTAGAGTCAGTGAGCTCCGCCCACTTCTGCACCTCCCAGAAGGTGTCAGTCAGCGCTTTGGCCACGCCCTGCGGCTCGTCATCAGAGCTGCCCACCTCACCTGCGCTGGCGCCGTCCTGTGCTGCTGGCTGCATCAGTTGATCCGCTAGAGCACAGCCCTTCCTGCAGAGAGCATCCAGCAGAGACAACTTCTGCTTCTCCATGTCACTGCAGGAACATGAAACACGCTCATTCTGCATTCTGTCAAGTGCCACATGATTACGTATGTGAACTATGACTTTAACTATAGATGACACCAGCTTAACACAACAACAATCCTGAAATTAATGTTTCATGTTTCCATAATCATCATCATCATCATCATCATGATTATCTTGGTCTGTCCTCACCCGTGTTTAACTTCTCTGCAATGTGATTTAATAATTCAATGTGTGGATAGACGTTTACAGCATTTCTACAGATTTGAAATGAGACTCATTTACAAACCTGTTAACTAAATAGAAGCTTTAATGTTTCCCTGCAATTCTTTGTCAAAATAAAAGTTTTACGTTTTAACAAATTAAAAAGAACAATATTGAAGACCAATATTAGTACTGAAATTTTACTATTGTCCTGTAAAACAAAACTTAAAGCTGCAGTCCGTAAGTTTTGCCTCTTTGTCGCAATCTCTGTTTGAAAACCTGCAATTGCAGCTGTGTGCGGAATTATCTTCCTTGTGTGGGTTGTGCGGCAGCACGGCTCCAGCGCGAATGAATCTAATGTTTTGAGGAGTATGTGTGGCATTCAGTCACGCACCGGTGTGAATCCTATACTTAGTAATCACGGATTCTAGCCTACATCTTGGAATATATGACCCAAATAAGAATTTTCACCGGATATTGTCATCTGAACAAGTAAGTAACAAGTCTGCCACGTTTGTTCTGACCAACTGAGGAAAAAACATTACCATAAATCTCGCTACCAGTGGTGATTAAATCTAACGATTGATTAGCTCATATCACATCAAACCGTGCAAATTATTATTATTGTTATACTTTATTCTCAGATTATTAATGTTAACAACATCAGCATTGCGTGACTATGAGTTTAGTGTGTGTGTAGATTTCAATTTCTAGACAGTCTAATCTCTAATTGTCATACCACTCGAATTTCATACCAAGAAATTCTTTTAACCCAAAAAGCAAATTATGCTCCCTTCGAACTGGTTGTCTTTAAAATACAAATCTTGTGTAATCCCAGGCTATCTGTAATCAGAAACACATTTAAAACTGGAATATAATTTAATTTCATTCACGTGTTTCATAAACACATAATCCTTTCTGGATTACAATCTGCCATCAAAATGATTTTTTGACATTTAATTATTCTGGCTGCTGCGAGAAAAGGCTAGAAACGATCGGCCACCTGCAGGATCCTCACATGCGATAGCCTACTAGCTGGGACAACTTCTTTATGTTTTTTAAAACATTGTTTACACAACAACAACAATAATAATAATAATAATAATAATTTAGTTTGAATTGCAATCACAGTATACAGTATATACACCAGGGGTGCCCAAACTCGGTCCTGGAGGGCCGGTGTCCT